GTTTACAACGTAAGGGAGGGAAAGAAGCTGCTTGCTGCCATTCCTCCCTTTTGCTCTGGCTGCATTGCTGTTCGGCTGCCATTTCCCCCTTTGCTCTTGTTGCTTTGCTATCTTCTGCCTAGGAGCCAGCCAAGTATGGACTGAAACCTCCACAAACTGTAAGCTAAATAAACCTTTCTTTCCTGAATTTTGGGCGTTGGGTATTTTGTCTCAGCAACGACAGAAAAGTAACCAAGACACTAGGTGTAGTGATGACGTGTAATCCCAGCACTCTGGCAGGCTGAGGCAAGAGGATCACCAGTCTGACCTCCGCCTGGACACCCTAGTGACTTCATGAGACACTGTCTCAAAATTAAAACTAAAAGGGGCTGGGGATGTAGCTCAGTGTGAGGACAATACAGAGTACCCCATAAGCTGGAACTACGGGCTGAAACTAATCAGACAGAATTGCATAGGGAAAAATAGAGACCTGGACGGGGGTTTCACCGTTCAGGGGCAAGATAGGAAAGACCTGGTGGTAACAGGTCATGAGAAATAAGACTTGGGAGTTTGTTGACTGAAAGCTGAAGATGAGTCACCAGAGTGAGGTGGCTGCTAGAGGGCTCCAGTTGCCTTCCTCTGTGTGAACAGAAGCCTGCAGAGGGCACTCACAATGCCTGGATGCGCTGGGCAAAGGCAGCCGCTGTGCCAAGGGGTTTGGAAAACCAGCTTTGGAAGGACGTTTTCCTGCACTAGGTTTGTGGTGTCCAGGGAAGAGAAGTGGACTCTACGGGACTGTCTTCAAGGATGGAAGCCATGGGCCAGAAAGCAGGATGGGCTGAGGTGAGCTTGCCCTCAAACACCTCTTCTTCCCTTGCCCGGCGACTCTGATTCGCTGTCTGCCCCGCTCTGTGGCTGAGTTGGCTGTCTGCACAATCTCTGTCTAGCTCAGCACCTGGGAACCTTCGCCTCTCTAGCCTGTTCTGGAGCCAGTAGAGGCCACAGCCTGAGCTTGCTTCCCATCCCGAAGTGTGGGTACACGGCTCACACAGGCCCAGTCCCAGGCCCCCAACGCCCGAGTCATGCTGGCCACAGAATGCAGCTACACACAGATGTCAAGTGTCGCTCTGGCCATGGGGACCACACAGGCTGCATCTCCTTGCATGTCCCTGTGGGGGGATTTCCAGCCATGAGTCAGGAGCTTGGAGTGGGGCCTCTGGACATCTCTTATGTCCTCCTTCAGTGGCTTGAGGGGTTCGAGGGTCTTCAGGATAGGTCTGTACTTCATAACCCACTCTTCCTTCGGAAGGCCTATCCGCCTAACGGCCATCTGAGACTCTGGCTTGCCATCTGCCCTGCCTCCCCCCTTGCCCCCTCTATCCTTTTCAGGAGCACATGTGCCAGGTCCCTGTCCTCTCTGCCTGAGGGTTTGGGCCATGAGGAGCCTGGTACTGCTCTGGATGTGGTGCTGGGGAGGGAACCCCTATTTCTGCACTGCGTCTTCTAAGTTTACAGGGATTCCCCACTTGCATCCCAACCTTTGTTTGCACTCTGGGGACAGAGTCACACAGTCTAAAGCACATGTGGACATGTTTTCTAGTTCAGCCTGTCTCCTGGGATGGTACTGACTTGAAATATTTTGCCTCATCATTTCCAGAAGAATACTCATTCTTGTGTCCTAATTCTCCCTTCCAAACACAAGGCCACTTTTGAACGCTATCCTTCCAGAGGAGTGGGAACAAGTGGCCTGTGTCCCATAGAAGGCAAGAGCTCCTGATGGAGTCTTTGTGATCAATGTCCTGCTTCCCCCAGGCCGACGACCCCCAAGCCTGGCTTCAGGCTTTTCTGATCCTTCCAGCCAAACCCCAGTTGGCTCCTCCTCTACTGGGGATCCTCTGGGACTTTTGACCTGATTGGGGTGAGGGGATCCTCCCCTTCCCCTAGGTAAAGCCCAGAAAGAGCCTGAGCTGGTTTTGGTTCCTCTTCTTCACACCTCCCTGGTGAAATGAGAGCGTGCATGGAGCCCAGCTTTGTAGCCTGTGGTATTCTGGTCACACTGAGGCTGTCATCAATGGGAAAGGAGCAGGGAAGCCGGGCTCTGGGGCTTACACCAGCTTGGCCCCGCTCTCTAGCAGCTTCTCCTCCTGGCTGATGTGCAGTGCGGGGCTGCAGCTGTAGTGCATGACCAGCTGGAGTAGGTGTCATTCTAGTCCCTGGTTCTGTACAGAGGAGGATTCTCTCCAAGCAAGGTTCCCTTAGGCAAGGTCTTCTCTTTTTTTTTTTTTTTTTTGGTCTTTTTGAGACAGCGTCTCACTGTGCAGTTCAGCCTGGCCTTGAGCTCACTTGGTAGCCCAGGCTGGTCTCGAACTCACAACAATCCTCCTGCCTCAGCCTTCCAAGTGCTGGAATTACAGGCGTGCACCACCACACCTGGTGCAAGGTCTTCTCTAGGTCTGTCTAGACCTGGTTTCCCAGCGGGGTGGCTCGCTGGCATACCTGCTTTGGGGACCTGGCTCCTCCTTCCTGGTTCTTGCCCATCTGGAATTTTTCTGTTTGAGTGTTCTACTCATAAGAATTAGCAGCCCACTTTAGGAAAGCATGTATTTTAAGTGGCCAGAGTGTACCTTAGAGTTCAAGACCAGGAAGAGAACACAGAATGGCCAACACTTGGCTTATAGCCATGAAACTCAGTTTTGAACCCAGCACTGAAGGGCAGAATCTAGTGATCTGGGAAAATGGACCTGTGCTTGGTTTAGACAAAAGCAGGGAGGAGAATAAGGAGTCAAGGGAATGGGAAAAACTGGGCAGATTCCAGAAACAAGTGGTGAGCTGGCTTCACCTGCACCGTGAGTCAAGAAATACTTATTGGAGAGCTGGTGATAGTGGCACATGCCTGTAATCCCAGCACTCAGGAGGCTGAGGCAGGTGGCTTGCCTTGAGTTCGAGGCCAACCTGAGCTACACGGTGAAACCCTGTTTCAAACTCCTCTACCCTTCCCAAAAGAAACACTTACGGGGGCTGGGGATACAGCTCAGTGACAGAGCAATTGCCTAGCACACAAGAAGCCCTGGGTTCCATCTCCGGCACCAAACAAAATGAAACAAAATACCCACCCCACACACAAGCTTATCAGGAAGCCACTACATGGAAGGACTCTTCTGTCTGCTCTGCCACCCTAAGGCTGACACTGGGGCAGTCTACCAGTGCTTCTCCTCGCCCCATACAGAGTGGGTAGGGTGGCAGGGGACAGCCCTGTGGAGAGGTCATGGAAGGTAGCTACACGTGGAACCGCACTGAAGTCTGGTTAAGGAAGGGTCCCCGTATTCCTGGCCACCTGGCTAGAACCTGACTGAGGGGTGCAGGCACATTCAGGTGCCCAGCAAGGTTTGAGGTTTGACCTGAAGCAAGTTGGCAGGTCTCTCCTCCTGGGATGTAGGTTTTCTTCATGACACGGAACATGTCCTGCTGCCCCTACCCCCTGCCACCTGTCTCTAGTAGGTCACACAGTGAGGTGAGGTGTGCACTGAATGGAAACTTTTGAGGTTTCTCAGAAGCTAGGAATGGCCAGGTCTTAGCGGTTACTAAGACATCCAACTAGGTCAGGGCTCGTGGTCAGTTTGAAGCTGCAGGCAGACAACACCCATTAACCTAACCAGGTGTGGCCAGTGATAGGGACAAGGGACCAGGAACCAGGGAGGGAGCGTGTTGCCTTGTAGGGCAGAGAGGGTTTAATCTGATTTGGGGTACAGGTCAGAGTCTGATTAGACCCAGGGCTGGCTTTGTGGGACAGTCACACAGGGCCTGCACTTGCAAAGACCTCACACTGGGTTTGATGCTCTGCTGAGGTCATCTTGGAATTCTTAATCCTCTTGTGAACGAGAGGCGCTGCATTTTCATTTTGCACTGGACCCACAAACCATGCCTCAGGTTCTGATTAGACAGCTGGCTTAGATGGATGGTCTGATCTTAGCTGGGGTTGGGTCTGAGAGGCCAGATTTGATGTAATGAGCCCTTCCTCTCTCTTCTATCCATGTTCGCCTGACACTTCCAAGGCTGGGCCCTGGGTCAGAGAGGCAGGCTTCTCCCAGCGAGGCTGGGAAGATGGTGGGTGGAGTTACAGAGCAGACCTGCCTCTGGGAGCTGGAGGGAGGAGGACAGCGTCTCTGTGAGTTTAGCATCAGAAGAGCTGGTAGGAGCCAGGGTGTGGATCCTTCATGAGACAGCTCAGAATACAGCTCAGAGAGAAGTCCTTTCTCCAGTGAGAGAAAAAGACCACGACAAAGTTTCAGTAAATGCTTACTACCAGTCCTCTGCTGCCTGCATGTGGGAGCCCTGGAGTTCTCTGTTTTGGCTGCTCCCCACACACATCCTTTGGGAGTACAGTGACAACCAAGTCAACAGAAGCACTCTGCTTCACGGGAGACGGGTGGGTGGCAGAGAGTGATGCTGAGGACTGTGTTTTCGGCCAGTCCGAGAAACCCTACCTTATCTCTAGAGACTCCAGTTCTGTGTGGAGGCTGCGACATGCTCTAAGACATTTCTAGGATCAACACAGGACACTCTCAACAGCTGAGCACCCCTGACCCCCAACTTGGGTGCCCTGGGATCCTCTCCCTGGCTATGATCTGGTCTCACACTTCCTCCATATAGAATATAATCATTGTCTAATAGCTTCTAAGGAGCGCTTGAGCTTTTTCTCAGTTGGACCATACCATAAGCTATTTGAGGGCAAAGATTAGGTCTTCCACTTCGCCATCCAAATAGAACGTCACGATCACACAGCAAGAGATGCACAACTGTGTTTGATCAGTTGATTAGCAGTGCCAGCCTCCTGACAGTACAACCTCCAAAGTGATTTCCTGTCTAGTCCCTCACTCCAGCCCTAAGAGACAGGAGAGGGCACCTGCTCACTATTGAAAAATTCTCTGGACCCCAGGCTGTCCCCTCTCCCTTCGGTCCTGGCACAGAACATTGAAGATTCCTAGCAGGGCCTGGGAAGAGGGGCAGCTCTCCCTACTCACCACATCGTCCATGTTGTAGTTCATGAGCTCCATGTCCAGGGTGAGGGGGTAGCTCATCGCTGCAGCTGCGAGGCCCCAGACTGGTCACCGTCGGATGCCGAGAGCGTCTGTGGTGTGACTGGTGCCTATAGAGAGGTGGCAGGCGTCAGCTGCGGATTTAAACAAATGAGCTGCGCAACTGTCTCCTGTGGCTGAGGAGGGCCTGTTGCCTACCTCACAACTCATCATTTTTTTTTTTTCCACTGGGTCTTTTCTTTTTTTTTTTTTTTTTTTTGAAGAAAAAGGGAAAATCCCCCGTAGCGTCAGAGCTAATCAAGCATTTCAGTGCCTTTCCTGGCAACTGTTGTCTGAAACTGGGCTTGATGCTGGGGCAAAGGCTGCCCCTCACTTCGGCCGCCATAGGGGACCAGGTCTTGGGAAACTCCCCCGAGAAAGGGGACAGGGCAAGCGCATTTCCAGCCACCTCTCCTGCAAGCCACCTCTCGACCTTCACCTTCCTCACTAGTTTGCCCAGGACTGAAAGTCCCTCGTCCTGGGAAGCCCCACAGGCCTGGGCAAATCAGGACACTTGCTCAACCTGCTTCTAGCCTTCCTTTTGCTCAGGCAGGGGTCAAGTCTCTTCCTTTTTCAGCTCAAGTTTGGAAGAGAAAGGTTGGAACTTAGTGAAGAGAACAACCCTAAAATAGCACTGGAAGACAAAAAATGAAATTACCAAAGGAAAGCGTGACATAAACATAGAGTTGGGCGGGCATGGTAGCACAGGCCTATAATCCCAGCACTTAGGAGGCTGAGGCAGGAGGATCTTTGTGAGTTTGAGACCAGCCGGGGCTACCAAGTGAACTCAAGGCCAGCCTGAACTGCATAGTGAGAACCTGTCTCAGAAAAAAAGGACAAAAAACAAAAACAACATAGAATCACCTTCTGACTCAAAAACAACAATGCTCTGCCTACTAATGAAATTTGTTGACATGTAAATTATTATCATGGACTACCCAGCTAGAGAAGATGTTGGATATCATCCAGTGCAATTCCTGAATTTTATGTGTGTGTGTGCCTGGGAGCCCAGTGGGATTGAACCAAGGCTGTTGCAGTGGGTACAGCCTCAGGCCTTTTTTATTTTTTGTTTTGAGACAGGGTCTTGGTAAATTGGTAAGGTGCCAAGGCCAGGAATTTGGAATCCTCCTGCCTCAGCCTCCCAGAGGGCTGGGATTACAAGCATATGTCCTCATATCTAGCTCCAACCCTTGATTTTTACACAGGAGGATCTGCATCTTATAGAAAGCAATAACTTACCCAGGGCCATGCAGCTAACCGGTGGAGAGCTCATGCTTGCACCTCCGTCTGATTTCACATCATGCTCTCTTCGCTGTTTCAGGCTGCTGCTCTCACAGACTCACAGAACACCTTCCCGTTCCCTCGCTTCTGTGAAATCTCAGGCTTCTTCTTTTATGAAGCCTGTTTGTTGTTGATCCATTTCCCCTCCCAAGTCTTACCTTTGTAGCTCCTTTCCCAGCAGAGGAGGAGGTTGGAGAGAAAGCAAGTGTGAGTGAACCACAGAAAACTGTTCGGAAAGTATTGAAAAACCTGACAGCAAGGATGGCTACAGCAAACCAACAGAGAGAGGTCATCCTGTGCTCCCAGGACCCCCAGACAGGCACAAAGCCCGGAGTACGTGACCCCGGCCAGCTTCTGACCTCATTTGCATTGCAGTTTTGACCATGGCCCTTTTGGACACGATGACACTTCCTCTAAAAACTTTGTATGGTCAAAGACTCCCGCTCCCCACGGGTGGGCTGAGTCAGGTACCCCATCAGGCCGTGACTCCTGGCCACACCCAACTATAGAACTCTCTATGAACCCAGGACTTTAAGACAGTAGTCCCCAGTCTTCCTGGCACCAGGGGCTGGTTTCATGGAAGAAAAATTTTTCAAGGACATGGGCGAGGAGGAGGAGGGCAGGGAGGAGGAGGGTGTTTTCTGGATGATTCAAAGGAGTGTGCAACCTCTATCCCTTGCTCACCCAGTTCACAGCAGGGTTTGCACTCCTAAGAGACGGGCGCTGCTGCCAATCAGATAAGAGGTGGCGCTCAGGCAGTAACACCACAGATGAGAAGCGGCTATCAGTACCCATGAAGCTTTGCGGCTCACGCGCAGCTCGCCTTCAGCTGTGCAGCTCAGTTCCTAACAGGCCGAGCACCAGCATCTCTGTGGCCTGGGGTTAGGGACCCTTGCTTTAAGAGACCCAATACTTGCCCCCAGTGGGGTCCTGAGCACTTCTCATGGGCCTGCTTCCATCCTGTGGAGTATAATTTTGCTTTTTTTACTCTCTTTTTTTTTTGTTTTTGTTTTTTTTTTTCGGTACCAGGAATCAAACTCATGACCTTGCGCTTACCAGGCAGGCGCTGTGCCCCTGAGCTAAATCCCCAGCCCCTTCTTTTGTTTTCAGTAAATCTTGCTCTTAATGTTACTCCTTCTGAATGCCTTGTTCACTTCTTTGTTCAGGATTCCAGGAACCTGAACAACTCCCCCAAGACCCTCTGTCTGAGAATGTTCGCTGTGGAACGGTGAGCCCGCCAGAAGTAAGGAGACCCCCATATTCTGTTGTCTCGTTGTTTTGATCATCTGCTTGCCCTCTTGGGGGCATGGGTTGGACAGTTATGTGTCAATAGAGCATCTTCCATTTGAAGACTCCAGACAGGATCATGGGATGTAACATTACAGTTCTGCCAGGTGCAAGACAATTCCCATATATCTGACAGGTTTATGTTTTATATTTATGCAACAAAAAGATAAAATGTCCTGGTATGATCTTTTCCTGTACTCCAAATATTTTTCCCTGGTTGCATCTGAGTTTTGGGGATCTCACCTATAATCCTTTGTCTCCCTTCTGAGTAATCATCAATGATAAGAACAAATTTTTTTTAGATTTCCTTGCATATTTTTGGTATCTATCCTAGGTGACTCTTATTCATTTGTTTTTTGTGTTTGATACAGGGTCTCATTATGTAGTTTAGGCTGGTCTTGAACTCACTAGGTAGCCCTGGCTGGTCTCAAATTTGTGGTGATCCTCCTGCCTCAGCCTCCCAAGTTCTGGAATGACAAGCGAGTGTCAACATGCCCAACCTTGGTCACATCTTCCACACTTTTTCCTGCTGTTTTAACTCTTCTTCTACCACTCCTGCCTGCCAGATTGCTGTCCTCTCTTCTTGGATATGAGGACTCTTTTTTGACAAAGGTCTTTTTTTTAGACAAAGGCTGCCATTTCTGGGCTCTCATGAAGCCGATTTCCAAGTACCATGGAAGCACAGACTCTGCCCTTCCCAGTCTTCTTTCTTTGGTTGGCTAAGAAATAGCAAAAGTTTATGTTTTCAGGGAAGCTGAGATGAACTCCAGTTTCTAAACTGGAGGGATGCGGCTGCTAGGACTGCTGGCCCTGGACTGAAGGCATCACCTGTGGTCACACGCCACACCCTTCACCAGAGACATCGGTAGGAAACCTGAGCCATTAGGGGGACACCCCAGGGCTCAGTGGTAGAAAACTTTAGGTACCCCACAGAGGTCAGTAGGTCTCCGTCTTCTAGCATGGATACCCTCAGGAGGACCCCAAGCTTAATTTTCTCTTTCTCTTTTCTGTAGGCCACACTAAACCCTATGAGAAATGTCCTATTGATCCCACTGACCTCACCATTAGGCTGTATCTTTCATATTGGAAATAATTTGACCCCAGTAACCTAAGAAAGAAACAGCTTATTTGCTATTGCAATATGATTTGGGTCTTAATATAAATATAAGCCAGGGGATGGGGGCCAATGGCCAGGAAGTGGTAACCTAAATGACATCCTTGTTCTCATACTAAATCACTTTTGTACAAGGCAGGAAAATGGTCTGAAGTCCCTTATGTGCAGGACTTTTTTTTTTTATTTTGAGACAAAGTCTCACTATGCAGTTCAGGCTGGCCCTGAACTCACTATGTAGCCCAGGCTGGCTTTGAACTCACAGTGATCCTCCTGCCTCAGCCTCTTGAATGCTGGGATTACAGGCATGTACCACCACACCTAGCTATGTGCAGGGTTAAAAAAATTTTTTTTTTAAATTTTAAAGTGAAAAAAGGGCCAGGGATATAGCTCAGCGGCACAGCACCTGCCTGGCAAGCATGAGGTCATGAGTTCAATTCCCTGTACCACCACCACCAACAAAAAACCAAAAAACCCAAAATTTCAAAACAAGATAAAAGGAAGGTAACAATAGTTACACTGCATATTGTTATCTTTAAATTAATTACTCAGAATACAAGATATAGGTATTTAATTGTCCAAACAATATTAGCACAAATCTTTATTTTCAATGAACTAAGAGAAATTAGTAGTATAACTATTTTAACTATATTATACATATATATATTTTTTTGCTTTTCCCTCTTTTCTCCTTTCCCCCATCCCAGTCTCTCTTTCCTTTTGAACAATTTCTTCCATTTACAATATCTGTTGTGCATTTTGGATCTTATTTACTCTTTCAGCTTCTCTATGTACAGGATTTTATGGCTGTGTATTAAAAACCACCCCTCTGCAAGGGCCCAAGAGATATAGACGTTAGAAAGCCTCCTGAACTAGATATTGATTATATTGATGACCCCCCCCTCGCCATTTAGAACACTGCATGTCTCTCAGGGGGCCAGCTGGGACCCTCTCAACCTCCTCATAATTCTCAGGCCAGTACTGCTCCTCTCCAAGTGACTTGGAGACCTATCCACAGCCTGTTCTCTGAAGAGAGCCAATTTGAAATTGATATTTTTGTCTAACTGGCATACCTAAAACATTTCTTGCAAGCAGCTTTGGGCTAGTTCTTAAACTGCAATTACTGGGTTAACTTGCTCTTTTTTCCTGCTTTCTGCTCATACTAAAATATTTTTGCTATTTATTTATTTATTTGGTACTGGGAATTGAACTCAGGACCTTACATTTGCCAGGCAGGCGCTGTGCCACTGAGCTACATCCCTCGCCCTTAATTTTGCTGTTCAAGATTACCTGAAAGCATGCTGTCCAGCTCGCCCTAATTGGAATGTAAATATCTGTGAGTTAATTCTGGGACCAAAGGGGAAAATATATGCCAAGAATACATTAAAATCCAAGTGGCCAAGAGGCTTGTTACAGAAGGGAGAGGGTAAGTAAGATGGAGA